TTGTGTCCTCTATGGTGAGGTACTCTCTGACTACTTGATCCAGTGGAGCAGAATTCCCAGAGTCAAAGACAGTCGAATCATCCGGAGCGGAGGGAGGCATCATAGACAGGAAGAGGAAGCTAAGTTTGAGGCTTCATGTGCTTTTTTACATCACAGCTCCTATGTTTCCCAATGATGATGATGTCAGCTCCAAGACCTTTCGTCTGTGTAGGATCTTTGTGATCTAGACATTATATTCTGAGATTCTTTCACTGATAGCTGGAATTCACTTCAATATCATCTGTACATACATTATACTAATAACATGCAATCATTTTCATGGCTGACTTAGGTTTCTCTATTTCACCTTTTTAAGTGTTTAGCAGTTGTGTGTATATGTATCTTAACTATATGTGTTAACATGGTTATGATAAAGACTTATCATAACCTGGGGGCTTTTTTTTTAGTAAGTAGTGGGGGTGTCCAGCCAAGTGTGCCCTATTGAAATATACTGACATATTTTGTAGTGCCAATACTTGAGTTGCCCTACAGATATAAGATGATCGTATCGTTCACCAGTCTTCTTGTAGTAAGCACCGCTCGCCCTAGTTCTATATTCGTTCACCAGTCTTCTTGTAGTGAGCACCGCTCGCCCCAGTTTGTTGCTCGTTCACTAGTCTTCTTGTAGTGAGCACCGCTCGCACCAGGTCGATGTTCGTTCACCAGTCTTCTTGAAGTAAGCACCGCTCGCCCTAGTTCTATGTTCGTTCACCAGTCTTCTTGTAGTAAGCACTGCTAGCTCCAGTGTATTGCTGGTTCACTAGTCTTCTTGTAGTAAACACTGCCGGCCCCAGATCTATGTAGGTTCACTAGTCTTCTTGTAGTGAGCACTGCTCGTCCGAGGTCATTGGCGGTTCGCAAGTCTTCTTGTAGTGAGCACTGCTCGCCCCAGTTCACTGCCGGTACACCAGTCTTCTTGTAGTAAGCACTAAACGCCCCAATTCGATGTTCGTTCACTAGTCTTCTTGTAGTGAGCACAGCTAGCCTCGGTTCGATGTTCGTTTACTATGCAGGATATTTTAAGCATTGTTCTGTAATACCACATCTCTGAGGTTTCAAGAAATTGTTTGGCCTGCCTACCGATTGTCCAGGACTTACAGCCATATGTTAAAACTGGATGTATGTAGCAAGCACGAATTCTTTTTCAAGCCTTCTATGACAAAGATACACGGCATAAGATGTTCTTCATTTTATAAAACGCAGTTTTTGCCTGTCCTTTTATGTTTCGTATTTCAGTTATGCATCTTCCATCTTATGTTATCCATGTGCCCAGATACCTAAATTTCCGTACTTGTCCCAAAATAAAACCATTGACTTTTATTACACATTTAGGAGTAATTATTTTCTTTGATACCACCATTACTTCTGTCTTCCCACTATTCAAACTGAGGCCCATTCTTCCGCCTTCGTGTATAAAATAGATCTAAAAAGAAAACATCAATAATGTCAAATGGACGCTGACATTTTACTTTACAAAATGTAGTACACAACAGTAAACATTTAAAAACATTTCATGTTTGGCATTCTTCAGTCAGTCAGTCTGTGGTAACTAATAAATAGGAGTGAAAGTATTCTTAGTTTTAGAACAAGTAACTAAACTTGTAAATTGTCACTGACAGCTTAGTTAATCAATGAAAGCGGCATTAGCTTTCCACACACACAAAATTGTTCCATGTTGTGAGCATTAGGGCAGCTTCTTGTCTCACTGAAGGTATTTCCAAATTTACTTAGCGGACGTTCGCTTGGTACGCTTGTAGGTGGTGCACAGAGATAACGCTGGACAGTATGAACCAAGGTGGGAAATCTTGATATGTTTAATTTCTACCAGTCCAAGAACGAGTGTATGGTGACCACTATTCGTATTCGGCCCGACCGCAACTATTCGGCCGAATACCGAATAGTTATTAGGTTCACTATTCGGCCCCGAAGCGAATACGAAGCGAATATTCGGTACAGCCCTAGTAACCATCTGAGTCTTTGAGATGGTAAGCAGTCCCTGTCCATAACTAATCACTGAAAGGATCAGGAGCTGATATAGTGTACAAGGCATTAAAAAAAAACTCTATATGCTTTGCAGCCATTTAGTCCTTTTTTGGCATTTTGTCACAACCGTCTTCACATTTTCCTTGAAGGATACGCTCCTCTCAAATATTATTTCCAAATACTTTCTGTTGACGTTCCTACCATCTATCTGAGACCTAGGATTTCATCTCTAACAGTCCTATGGTCTTGAGCAAACGCATTTTCTGGATGAACAACAGCACTCATTTGTGTACCAGTCAATCACTTTGCTGTCGACTATAGCTCCTGGTTTGTTTGTTTCCTTTCTTTTCCCTGCCTATATACGAATATATCATCTGCAAGTGTCTCCAAGTGAACTGCAAGTGCCAAATGAAGAGAAAGTGCAAGTTTTGAAGATTCATTCAGAAATTTTATCCAGCATACAACTGCAGTGGCATTCATGGATATTAAATTGCTGACATCTGTTTTTAGAACTCAAAGATTAGCGAATCCGCACACGGAGTTATCGAGATGCTAAGCCATAATTAGCGAATCCGCACACGGAGTTATCGAGATGCTAAGCCATAATTAGCGAATCCGCACACGGAGTTATCGAGATGCTAAGCCATAATTTGTGAATCCGCACACGGAGTTATCGAGATGCTAAGCCATAATTAGCGAATCCGCACACGGAGTTATCGAGATGCTAAGCCATAATTTGTGAATCCGCACACGGAGTTATCGAGATGCTAAGCCATAACTTGAATACCAAATCAGTAAAAACAATTTGATGATTTAAAAACACAAGAACTGTTAACAGAAAAATGAAGAGGACAACTTCAGAAAGCGGTGTCAAGATTTTCATGTATCATTATTCAAGCAGCTGAAGCAGAGACTTCCTGAAAACTTAGACTTTAACACAAAAGAATGAAATATGTTTTAGTACAACATTACTTCAAACAGTACAAGACATACGTAAATTGTGTAAAGTTATTACATTTTAAATGGCTACTGATAATAGTGCGGCGTCCGTGGCTTAGGCATTGCGAGTCCGACAGCTAATTCCAACGTACCGCGATCGAAACCTATTGCTGGCTGCGTCAATTTTTATCATGTTGTGAAGCGTCGCAGGTCGACCCAGCCTAAAATGGGTACCAGGATGGCTGTCCTGGGGAAGTAAAGACGGCCGGCATATCCACACAGTACCAAATGGTCTGTTAAAATATGGCTACTCTTCCCATATGCCCGATACGCCTAAAGGCGTAAAAAGGGATGTTTACTTTTACTGTTAATAGTGTGACCGAAACAAAATGTCATTAAACGAATGTAAATTTGACTTTTAATGAAGCTGCACGTATAGGAATGCCCCCAGTGCGCTAGGGTTATTTCTTGATTCATTTCTTCGTTCATTTTATGTAATTTATCACTTTTTCTATCTGTTTTTTTTTTTTAATGTATTACCTGTTCAATCTAGATATTTCTAGATGTTGTTTGTTTCGTTTCCATATGTTTTCTTCCAAAGAAAGCTGGCAACTATGCTCGCCACTTCACCCTTCCCATTTTTATTTAAAGGATGGAAACAAGGTAATGAAAGAGCTGACGGGTTGGCTGGATCTGCTATCACTACCGACGGTCAGCCTATGGATCATGCTGATATTATTAATGCACTCAGAGAAATGGGAAGGATAGAGGACTTTGGTGGCAGTGAATCCACATCACTCGCCAGAATGGCAGACTTGGGAATTAAGATCGGCATAGCAAAAAAAACGAGACGCACACCAGACACGCCAGAAGACTTGTTAATCAACATAGAACTGGTACTATTAGCCATCGGACGTTGGGGTTCATACTGAGGGGATTATCTGAGCACATATGGACATGTCCGGAGTGCAATGATGATAACCCATCTAGCTAACTAACTAACTAACCAAACAAGGAAATTCATTATTTGCTTGGTTATTATAAAAAAGTGAAGCTTACAGTATTATTGTCGTAGGAACGGATCAATTATAGTTTTCCGTGGTATAAAAGATGGCTTGATGATTATAAGAGAGGTTTGCTGGGTTTATGCACTATCGTCGTTGTTTAGATGGATCATTCTGACTTGATTATCGATTTACAGAAGTGGAGAAAATTTGGATTTGTCATTATCACTAAATTATCAATATAAAGAAGTAGAGAAAAGTTTTCTTAAATCTGAAATGATCAGAAGCAAGTTATAATTGTCTTTCGAAAATACATGTCTTTTTATGTGAGTAAATGTACCTATGTATATGTGTGTGTATGAGAACGCATATGTGTGTTGTGTGTGTGTGTTGTGTGTAGGTGTGTTTACGTGCGTGCTTCATTGAAAATTAAAGTAAGTAAAGTAAAGATAGGCGTATAGGGCATGTAGGGCTAGACCTATATTTTATAGACCAACGGCATAATATAGGTAATGTGGTCAGCATCACGCCGGCCACCTCTACTTCTCGGGACTGCACCCGGTACCCACCCGAGGCTAAGTCGACCTGGGAGCCAAGGTAACTTTTGAGGAAAAGTCCAGGGAGCGAACCGACAACCTTCCGATCAGCGGCGCGCGTGCTTAGTTGAAAACAAGTAACTTATCCTTGGAAAAAACAATGCACAGAAATTTAACTCTGTTCACATTTTTCATTAATGCAATAATTTCTTAGGTTATTTCCCCTAAATAAAATAGTCAAGAAATAGCATGAGTGCACTAGGGCACCCTTTATCAGACCCTGCCTTTCATGTTTGTGTTCGCGTACACAGTGGCGAGCAATGTGCCTGAAGCACCAGTTTTTTTCTCCCCCCCCCCCCCAACCACCCCCCCCCCCCCCCCCCCCATGACACATTACTTTCGAGTGAAAGTGTTAAAGCAACTAACTGTTCAAAACCTGCCAAATTTTAACGAATGTTCATCATGTTGCAGTCCAGCAAGATTCTTGATGGGGTCCTGTTTAGCTTTTCTGCACATGAAAAGTTCTTATAACAGTACCGTGGAATTTAGACGACATAAGTACATATATGAAAAAATTCGCGGTGCAGTTTAATGCCATGAACACTTCTTCCAAATGTCGCAGAAAATTATTCAGCTCAAAGTGCTTCACAGTTACAGGAAATGTGTAGTACCCAAAGTAGATGACAAACGACGGAATGTTGCAAAAGCAATACACAACACAAACCACCAGCAACATACGAGAGACTTTCAAATCTAAGTCAGAGTTTTTAACCACCGTTTTGAAGGTCATTGTTGAACGACGTTTGGTCAAAATATGTAATCTGTATGCTATAGCACAAGACATTGTTGCAACAAGCAGGCAAAACATTCCAGTAACCGAATTTATAATAATGTATCCGAAAAATGTTAATATTTCTGCATTCGAAATGTACCATTCTGTAAATACCAGATAAGTATATGTTCGATTATAGTTTGCGTTGTAACCCCATTCGACTCTGCGGTGTGAATAAACCCACGGCTGCAATGCAATAATCCAAGTCAGGTATACACTGATTAAAGTCATAGTTACACTCTTACGTGTAAACCACTGACAAACTCTAAGTGGAAAGAACACAGCCAGTAATCGTTCTGTTGATATGACAACAATGTGGCTAATAGAAATAAGCACAGGAGCTAGATCAAAAACATACAAGTAACACACGGTGTATGATCTATAAATTTCTGCATAGAATGAATCAAATATCTCTATTACATAAGATAGTTTTCGAATAAAGAGTTGTATCAAGAAGAAGAGATCGACACCAGCCAAAGAAAGTAATATAATGTTACTAGCGTCTTTAAATCCGATTCGACACAGAACAATTAATGTCACACTGTTTCCGACAATGCCAACCACTGTGGTAAATAGGAGAAGGTAGCAGCTGATCAGGGTATCTAGAATGTTTATTACTTTTGTGTTTATAAATTCTTCCCAAACAGATGTGCTCGCGTTACTTGCCATCTGTTATTTAATGCACAGTTGAGTTAAAAAACCGACATTCTAGCACTCGGCAAATTTCCATAAGCGCTCCATCTCCATCTTCAGTAGCCAGAGGTTTGTTGGTGCAAGTTGAAAATCCGTCTTGAGTACTAAGTGTCGACCAGAACTCCCATGCCCCATTCTCTTTAGACAAAAATTGGATTAACAACATTACTTCCTTAAAAGTTAGCGGATGTTCCTGAAGAAGTAGTCAAACTTAAAGTAGAGTGTTTGAGTAGTGGGATTTTTTCCCACGAGTTCTTGACAGTATGTAGCTCAGAGATCCATAGGGGTCGTAAGTTGAGCTATGGAGTTCGTGCTTTATAGAAAGCTCTCGCTGGGTAGGAACAGCTCTGCAGAGAGTGGCTTTTTCATTTGAGATACAATTTGGTGAAACGAAGTCGTTCCTCTCGGTTTTAAACTTTACACTGGTAATGATCAGGTTTATGAGCAGCTGACACATCTGGGAAAAGCTGTGATGTCTTGGGAAGGCTTCATACCAAACTTCCGACAGTTTTACCTGAAACAGAGATTCCTGACTACACTCGCTGTAACGTTTTCAATCGTAATTTGTTTTCTTCAAAGTAAACTACCTTTTTTTTTATAGCATCAAATAAAATCAATACAACAATGTTCCTCAGATAATTTGTCGTGTGTTCCTAACAGAAAACAAATCTAAATAGAGGTGGGCTGTTTTCACGAACGTCCAATTTGTCCCCTGACCAAACAGCATAAAATGCAGCTCCTAAACTACACATACTGTAATACTTGAAAAACAACATTATTTTTAGACAAATAACATTTGTCCCCATAGCTGAAGAAAATGAAAAATACAACCGCTTGTTTAATATGGAAAACAGTGTTATAGACACATTAATTATTTATTCCGCGATTTAAACCGCTTTGAGTTGTGAGTTAAAATATCTTCACAGCACTTCAGACACACCCATAGGCGCTCAGATTCCCCTCTAAACATTTTCATCAGCGTCGTGCGGTTAATAGTGCCAGTCCTATGCTGATTAACAAGACTTCGTGTGCGTCTGGTTTGCTTCTCGTGATTGGCTTTACTCCCAATTTGCGTATTCTTAGCAGTGATGTGGACGCTTTGCTTCCAAAATCCTCTGAACGTCCTATCCCTCTATAAGGGCAATGACCATGTCTGCGTGATCCATAGGCCGGCAATCTCCAATTAACTCAGTACCTGCCAGTCTATCAGCTCTTTTATTACCAACAACGCCTGCATACCCTGGGACGAATATGAAGGTAACTGCACACACAGAGAGAACTGTAATGACTCAAACCCTTGTCTGCGTAAACAGCCTGCCTCGACCCGCTTGATCGTCACTCAGCACACACACGCGGGAATAGTCCTGTGATTCTAGCCACATGAAAGCTTGTGTCACCGCCATCACCACCATCGTCATACTGCTGGTGGTCATGGAGAAAGCACCGCTGGCTTGAACTATTCTACCTTAAGAGCGAGCTGAAAATGCCTATGCACTCTTATGTCCTCGTCTAACAGACACGTCTGTGAAGATCACCACATCTGTCTTATCTGACTTGTCACTGATAAGCGCGCATATTTTGGCACTGACAGCAGCTGGATTCTGCTCCACCAATAACTTCTATCTAGCGTCACGACAGGAGAATGTGAGATTGGGCGCTTTTTGGTATCCATTCCTCACTTGGCTGGATGTCTGTAAGGCTGCAAACCTACATGATGTCATCCTCTGCCCTACCCAGCCTATTCCCCTTTTTCTCGAAGAGCATGTGGTGCAAAGGGTGCTTCAGATCTGAGCTTATCTTGAGAGATGCACGAGTCCTCCAGATCTTGATCCTGTAGTTTTTTTTTTTTTAACTGTTTTGAGAGCATATGCGTTTGACCGCTCTCATTGTTTGTATTTATCTGTGCACAATCTTGTGAATTTTACTTTCAGTTTTCATTTCATTTGTTCACGTCCATCTCTAGAGTTTGCCCACGCCCTCTTCTGACTTTACAAAGCAGATTTTACTAGATGATTGTTAGTTAAACTGTTAAATCTGTTAGTTTTGAAAGAGAAAGACTTCCTTATATGGGTTCCGCGACCCCGTTCTGAGAATAGACCGGCTGCTCCCTAACAAGCATGCTGCAAGAGGCGACTAATTAAAGGTATTAACTTCAAAGTTAAAGTGCATTTGTCCGAAAGGCAAGGAACCAAAAGTCTGCATACAGATAAGTCTGATCTGTGAAACGGATGGCGCCCGCAAAACTCAAGCTCTAGTATACTACCAATGTCCAGAATGGCACGAACAAGCCGAAGTTTACAACAGTTGAACGCTGAGAAGAAGAAAAAGGCTTGTTTTCACGTCTTTCAAGTATAATCTGTGCGCCGCGGCACCCTTTGGACTTGGGAAAAGAAAACAAAAATTTCAAACTTTGTCCTCTTTCAGCCGCCCAAAGGCCTGCTTTATCGAGGAAAGTTCGGTTTGTTTGCTCGATCATGCTTGGTGGGCATTATCCGGCTTTTTGGGAGTGGATTTGGCAGCCCTAAGAAGGGCTGCCGTTTTTTGCCTGTGGCGGCCTGAAACGGAAATGGGCGGGTTCTCGTCGTGGCTGTCTTCTTCTATCAGGTCTGGCGATCGTTTGGTGTACTGTCCGTGAAGATGGCGGCGTATTCACTAGGCTCTCTTTAGTGGCTTTTAGAACTAGCGATAACCTTTTCTGTTGGGCGTGCCTTGTTTCCTTTGTTTTTGCCTAGACGCGCGCAGTTGCTTAAGGGCTGCGTTGAGTTCATCGTAGAATCTGTCAATTTTTTTGCGCTTTTCTGTTTCTTTGGGTGTTAGGTCTTTCTTCTCGATCTCCTCCCAGTCGTAGGTGATCGCATAGCGGCTGCCGTCTTCTTCCATCGCTGGCTTGAGCGGGTGTATTTGTTTGTTAACGTTTTCAAGCATCGCTTGAAGGTCGGCCTCGCAAATTGCCCTATCTATTGTTGCTTTCTTGACTTTCTCACTGGTTGTGGTGTAATCTTGGTTTTCGCGTTGAGTAACCGGCTGCCTGGTATACAGTTTTTGAGAGGCTGTTGGATCTTATTGAATGTCCATACCATTGCATTTTTTGACATCTCACTGTAGTTAAAAGAGTTTCATAGTTGCCAATGTGCTGTATAATTTTATGGCGAACTTCCTCGTTTATGTAATGTGGTCTCTGCAGGATATAACAAGAATTTTTTCTGAAACATCGCATTTCTAATGCTGGTACCTTTCTTTCAAGTTCAGCTGTTAAGGTCTACGATTCACAGTCATGTGTAAATATACTAATAGCTAGTGATCTGAGCAATCGAACCTTAGTCTTTCATGAAATTCGAAGAAACACGAGCTTTCTTTTTTCCTTTTTTTTTAAAAACCTCTCACATACGAATACTCGTAATTTTACTTAGGTTAGGGAGCCGTGGACAAATTGTAACTGAAAGAATGCGCCGCGACTAAGAAATGTTTGGGAAACACTGTCCTAGATAATGACTTTTCACCCATGTAAGATTATTTTAAAAAGTAAAAGTCCCTTTAAACGCCTATGGCGTGTCGGGCATGTTATGTCTGATTCACATTTTTGTTAACCAGTCTCGACGTGGTCAACATCACACCGGTCGCTTTTACATTCCAGGAGTATGCCTGGTGCCCATTTCAGGCTGGTTCAACTTGGGAATTAAAAATCATGTTTAAAAAAATTAATCCTGTCTCCATGTCGATATGAACCAACGAACTTCGGACCCGCCGGCTAGCCGATACTGTTTCTAATATGGCGCACATAACCCAGTTACAATTACAAACTAAAGCTGCCCCTTTGCGCTTGCTGGCTCAACGTAATGATTTTTTTCCCTCTCGCAAAGCCATCCAAGCCAAGATTGATTAACTTTCAAGTGGGCTCCGGTTTTAGTGGGCCACAAATATAAGGAGAGCCTAAGTAGAAGATGGACTCGCCTAGGGGGAATATAGACTCCCCCAATGAATAGAATGACTCGCCCAGTGAGAAGATTGACTCCCAGAGAGCAGATGGACTCGCCTAGGTAGAAGATGGACTCACCTATGGAGAATATCGACTCCCCCAATGAATAGAAGGATTCGCCCAGTGAGAAGATTAACTCCTATAGAGCAGATGGACTCGTCTAGGGAGAAAATGGACTCGTTAATAAAGAAGATGGTCACATCTAGGAAGAAGATCGACTCATTTATTTCCATGGCACTAACAACGACAGTGAAATTTATACAAGAGACACAAGTGCTGATACAAACAACTTGTTTCAGGCGAACGAAAGAAGGAGAAGACTCATTTATAAAGAAAATGGACGTGCCTAAAGAGACGATGGACTAATCACATTAAAAGGCAGTAACATCTACACTGATTACCAATCACCAAAAACGTCCATCGCGCACAGGATCACTAACTTGTCCTCCACACGGTGCTTGACAGCAAAAAGAGAATATGACGATAGAGATGATGATGATGACGACGATAATGATCAGGGCTTTATGTTTCAAAAACAAAAAGGTGCCAATACTTACCTAAAAATTTGTCTACACTGAACACAATGTATCTTTTACATCCTCACTGAAAAATTGATACCCCAACAAGGGTGCCAGCACTGCATACTGTTGGGTACTACTAGGAAATAAAACTATGATGATGACGAATACCATTGTATCAATTCAGTAGTGCCTATAACTATTTTTAGCAAGTCTAAGCCGAAATTAAGGTACAAAGAACATTGATGTTATCAATATATTGTAAAGGATGGTTGGGCAAACTGATAAGAGCACCAGGTTTTCATACGGTAAACTCAGGCTCAAATCCTCAGTAAAGGTTAGGCTTTTTTCTTCTTTCTTTTTCTGTCAGGTTTAAAAATACAATTCTCACCTGTAAAGTACGTGGCGACAGAGCTAGCCATGTGGCCCTAAATACTCTGTCTCAAAGACGCCCCCCCCCCCCCCCCCCCATCCCCTTCTCC